AATACATTTAAAACAAAAACCCTACTGGTATGTGGCTGGGTAATTTAAAAAACAGCCCCCAGCCCCAAAAGAAAAAACAAAGTAACTATCCATTCCCCTATGGTGTAAAGTATAGCTATGGGTATAGTGAAATTTCTTATTTTCATTTCACATAAAATTCACCAAACTTCTAATTCAGTCATTACTTACCCATTATGGGGTTTTTAAACGGCACTTTGAAAGTTTGCTTTGGCTCAGGGTGAATTATGTGCCCAGACTTTATTCCTGAAGTCATGACTCCCCTAGGCCTTCTGTACCTTTTGCAAATTCACAGCTCATTTTGTGGGAGGCAGTGGTTTGTGTGCATGAGTGGGCATAGGTGGGGGCAGTCTTAGGATATCCTAAATGGTGGAATGTTTTGTAAGTAAGGGTCCTATCACACAGAATAATTAAGGAGCCAAAAAAAAAAAAAAAAAAAAAAAAAAAAAAGGTAAAGAGCCAATAAAGGTATCAGCAAAATTAGGTTACCTCCTTGCAGTTATGCATATACTTGGATACTCTATTGATTTAACAGGTGGAAGAAATGTGTGTACCAAAAATTCATTGAATGTTTGGATATCAGGAGGTACAAATACAAAAGTGCGTGAAAAGGTAAAAGTGACGCAAAGCTGCTTCTGAGGATAAAGTAAACCTTGGATTATGATACATCATAATGCAATGTTGGATACAGATGAGCAGAGAAAAAAATATTTTGTGTCCACACTCCATAAAAAAATGTGATCTTCAAGAACAGGCCGGGCGCGGTGGCTCAAGCCTGTAATCCCAGCACTTTGGGAGGCCGAGGCGGGTGGATCACGAGGTCAGGAGATCGAGACCATCCTGGCTAACCCGGTGAAACCCCGTCTCTACTAAAAAATACAAAAAACTAGCCGGGCGAGGTGGCGGGCGCCTGTAGTCCCAGCTACTCGGGAGGCTGAGGCAGGAGAATGGCGTAAACCCGGGAGGCGGAGCTTGCAGTGAGCTGAGATCCGGCCACTGCACTCCAGCCTGGGTGACAGAGCGAGACTCCGTCTCAGAAAAAAAAAAAAAAAAAAAAAAAAAAAAAAAAAAAAAAAAAAAAAAAAAAGAACAACATTAGGACCAGGCGTGGTGGCTCATGCCTGTCATCCCAGCACTTTGGGAGGTCAAGGCAGGAGGATTGTTTGAGCCCAGAGTTCGAGACCAGCCTGGGCAACATAGTGAGACGCCGTTTCTACAAAAGCGAAAAATAAAATTAGCTAGGTATGGTGATGCTCATCTGTAGTCCCAGCTACTCAGTAAGCTAAGGCAGAAGGATCGCTTGAGCCCCAGAGGTCAAGGCTGCAGTGAGCTGTGATTGCGTCATGGCACTCTAGCCTGAGTAACTCAAAAGAAAACAAAACAAAGGCCAACATTAGTATTTTATGAGCAGAACTGGGGGTTCAGGTGAGGCAAGGCAGCTACAGACGTTTACCAATTTCAAGAGCGCAGTGAAAATTCTTCCTGGCACCTAACCTCTCTCCCAACTCACTTGCAAGCCGTTGCTTGAAATATCTTCCAGTAGGGCCCCTAGAGCTCAAGAGCAAAGGTGAGGGGCATTATGGCAGAAGCGAAACACCAGTTCCTCAGAAAATTACAACAGTAGCTTCTAGATTCATAGAGATTTTGAGCTAGAAGAGCTCACAGTCACCATTTCATTCCTGCTTCATCCTAATACATATATTTTACAGATGTGACAATTGGGTTCCCAGTGATTAAGTGACTGGCCCAAGATCACATAGCCAATTAACGGGGGTGGGGGTGGGGGGATGAAGGGTAAAAACGCCTGTTTTCAGCTCTCTGTCTCCAGGTCTGTTTTTACACTGCTCAGCCCCGCATGCATTCAGAAGGGATAAGAGAAGTCCCTGGGATGCTTCACTGAAAGATGAGTCCTAATACCAGGGGCAGCACAATGACTGAGTGGGTCACAGACTGCACGTCTAGAAAGTGGCGCTTTCAGATTTGTGCCTGGGCTCGGAAGTTTGCTCTTTCGCTTAAGACTGGCTTGAATGCCAAGGAAAACTGAAAGCCATTAATATACCACGACACAGTAGATTGCTCTTCCAAAGATATAGTTAATCTCCAGGTAAACCATATTCCCTAGTGAAACACTGTTTCCTCTGCTGAACCACAGAGTTGTGCTCTGACACCAATTTTAATAAGGTTATTGTTTACTCACAAGGCACAAGAACTTAGCACATTTTTATGTGGTCATTTGTACGTTTAGAAATTATTCTGGATTTTATGAGGGGAAGTTGTTAACTTGTTATGAAGATGCATTCATTTCAATTTTGCATCAAACTAATGTGTACTCATGAAAACTATCCTAAATAGGAAAAGTAAATATTCTCCATCACCTAAAATTAACCTTGAGTGGCCCAGGTTGTTTTCAACACTTCCATTTCATTTGGAAGTAGAATTTAAACCAAACACTATTTTCCATGAAACCTGTCCCTTTGAAAATGCTACTACTGATTCTTAATTTTTGCAATGATTTTGAGCACTTAGTTGGCATTCAAATATATTTAAAAATTAAGTGAGTTGAATTTTTCTGATGAGATCCCATGCTAGTTCTCTTCTTTATAATTACACATGATCAGGTTTTTATTTTGGCTATGAATTTTATTTTCTAGGATGCCCTTGTTAACGATGTTACGTTGCCTCCTGATGCTTAGGGTTGTTGGGATATATTGGGTTTCTGGGAAAAAGTATAATTGAAACTACAATATCAAATATCATTAAATAGATGTCAAAACAAAGCAATTATAGTGTTACTCATTTAATTATAATAGAAAAATTCCAGTTAATTTGCTTATTTTGCTGTAATGAATGTGTGATTCTACCAGGTAAGAAGCTAAAATCTTTAGCAGACAGAGAACACTAACAAAGTTCTCACTTCAGGATTTTAAGAAAACCCTGGATATTAATCAGTTTGTTTAAATGGTTGAGCAGTAACACACATAATGTGCTAGTATTTCTTAACAAACAGATTTTCCTAACCATGCTGCTGCCTCCAGAAATATTTTATTAGTCATCATCAACGTTCAGAGATGTTGCTTTAGGGTAGAAACTTTGGTGATCCATCCTCACAGAGCCTGGCTGGAAGGAAGGGTCTCCTGAAACTGCGAAATGAGAAGAACCGAAAAGGGTCTTGTGAGGTCATGACCCTGTAAAGGGGTTGGTTTACAGAGTGTGAAGCAGGCAATTCAACAGCTGCACCCAGGAAGCAATGCCACAAATGCCCGTGGCTGGGAATCAGAGATACTGTCATTTTGAAGGACTTCTGGATACCACCTCTATGACAGAGTCACAGTTTCTTTGATCTAACTTCTATGACAGAGAACACTCTTTAATTTGGAATACAGTTCAGTATTTCAACAGAAGATCCTTAACATATAAAGCAATTAATTGCCTTCTCTGTTAGTCTTTTGTTTGTTTTAGACCATTTTTAGGGCCCCAAGGACAAATATACTAAGGACTGTGCTCAAAATCTGACATGCAAATTCTTAAGCAAAGGCTGTCCATTCCAGGCCCACTGCTGGATGTCCCAGCCTTAAGGTGTGTGGACCTGGAGGGCAGACTGGCCAGCTCCTATGCTGCTGTAAGAATAGCATTTTTGTAAGAGAATTGATTCCAGAGAAACTTATTTTAGCTTACTTTAAAAGGCTAAATAAGTGATTGCAGGGCAAGAGCTACGAGTTTGGTGCCAAGATTTTTAGGATTTTTTTCATGTTATTATCAACGACCTATTTTCTCAACAATGGTACTTTTCTCTGCTTCAGTTTTATCTATATAATGGATAGATTCAGTTTAATTCCCATGTTCCCAAAGAAGTAATGATGGGAAGATGTGTTGATAAACGTTTTTAAAGCTAACTTCCCTGGAAAGAAAGAAGGCCTTTTTCTTTTTTTAGCTCCCTGAGAAAGTATTTGGAGACTAATACTAGGTCAAAAATCTCACAATTTTGATCCTCTTACTAGTGTTTTAAGGTGAAATATATTACAGTAGGTTGTGATGTGTCTATAAATATATTATGTATATATCTTTTCTTTGATTACAAAGTGAAGAACAAGAATACCGAATTATGGAATGTCAGGCCTCAAAGGTTAGTAAAATGTAGATGCTGTAATTAAATATATCATTTTCCTTATGCTGATGAATTTTTTGTCTCCCTCCACTCTGTTTTGAATGCCATTCTCATACATCTGTTCCACAGGAGTAGCAGTGAGACCTGTTTGAAGTTTAAATCCATGACACCCCTTCCAGAACAGTGGCAACCCAATCACAAAAATGATCAGGCAGAAATGCTTTTTTCTGATAAATAGGGGCAAATTCAATCTCTCTAAGGAAAACGAACACACACACACACACACACACATCCCGTCTATATTCAGAGTTGAGGTTTTTCTTCTACCCCCAGCTAATAAAATCGGGGGCTGCAATGAGGCCGAGCGGCACGTAGTTTGATGTCCGCAGCAGGATACGGGGAGTCAGAAGTGGCGCTGTAAATCCAATGTGGGGCTTCCACGCTGTGTGAAGTGTGGCCTGAGTCACAGAGATTTTCCTTTGATGCAAGTTCAGTATATTAATGGGAAAAGCATTCACTTTTATTTGTCTATACTGTCTGCGACAGCAAGGCTGCCTCATTTAGCCCGGGCCAACATGAAAATACACAGAGAAGCAATCTGTTGCAAATTAGCACAACCCTCCTTTCATTTACTAGCTAGTAATTGGAAGGGGTTAAGAAAGTGTAACTTATCAGATCATGTGAACGTATCTGCCTGTGTGGACAGCAAGCTTTCCCCGAATTTCCCTACGACCCCTGAGGCAAAAGTCCTTTCCCGATGGCCACTTGATCAGAAAGAAAACATCGACACGTGTGATATAGACACACTTGGATAGGTTTAAGAGTGCAGTTTCCGAGGCTCCTGAAGAAGGCATTCAAATCTTTATTTGAACCTTACCTTTCTTTAGATATGTTTTTACTCTCCCGTTTCCAAATTGTCTTGAAGTCACTGCAGAACTCGTACCACACCATAAACACGTAGCTGGGTGTGATCTCCTTCTCACCAGACTTTGGCTTCATCCCAAAATATCCTACTGTTGTTTCAAAACTGCAACAGGTAGGGGGGGAAATGGAATGAGGTAGAGGGTGAGAAATTCTCAACACTAAAACCCATTAGCAGGGGGATGCTGGGGGCAGTTTCCCATGTGTTTAATTCTCTAACACAGAAGCTGAGGGCTCATAGTTACTGAAGTTTATTGTAAGCCTCAGAAAATCTATTTGCTCAAACTGATGTGCCAAAAAATGGAACTTGATCGGGATGCTCCTGGGCACATCTTATCTGTATAAAATCAGCATGTATAATTTCTGGGGTTGTGTAGGTAAAATGTCTTGAGTTAGTTCTTCATCTCAGATCCCTGTCTCTTCCCTGCTCTTCATTTTATGTTTAGTGATTACACGCAAGGCTGATGACATGCTGACTGCAGCATTAGCAGCGGTCGGTTCGAGAGCTCATTGGGAATAATTAATCTGTCAAACGCTTCACAGAAAAGCAAGAAAATCCATTCTATCCTTATTCTGGTGTATACTGACTTTGTAACCGTGGATCAATCACTTAGCATCTTTGACTCTCAATTTTCTCAAGGGTAAAATAAGAGATGTAGATGATATGATCTTCAGGAAGGCTACCTTTTAAAACTTAATATGACACAAGAATACAAACCACCGATGTATAAAAATGGACACAGTTGTAGGCATAGCAAGTTTTGGATGAAAAACCATTTCTGATCTTGAAAAATGATCTCCAATCTGGTCAGTAAAGAGTCCCATTTTTCCAGAGTGGATTCCCAGATATCAGTCAGACCTATCCCAGCGAGGCTCACTGCACACCAGACTCCCTGGGCCTCCCAAGCAGCCCTTCTTGGAGGCACTAGCTTTGCGGCAATTTATAGCTTTGAACTCAATCTTTCCCCCTCACCCTCACCTGCCCCAAGCCTCACAAGCTCATTTGCCATAAGCAAGAACACTTAAATAAATGACCCCCTTTCCTAGGGTGTTGGAAACTAATCAAAGCAGGAATGGTTGGCCAGGTTTATTACTCAATGCTCTATCATCTGTTCAGACACAGCAGGTTTTATTTTTTATTTTTTGTGGCCATCCTGAATACTGATTTTCTAATGGAACTCTATTCAATGGCGATTGTAAAACCCTGAAGCTCCGTTACTATTCTGGAGCATACTTTCATCTCGCTCTCAGTTATTGGGCAATATGTATCTCATAAGATTTTATCACATTTCACAGATGAACTGTTAATTGATTCCATGGCTACGATTAGGCGAGATCCAAGCTGGAGCTGCAGCTCTGAGTCCCATAAATTCTTTGTGCTTCTGTAAAGAATAAATCTGTTTTTAATGCAAATTAAAACTACTGGTCAGGGAATTTTGGCTCCCAGTTATTAAAAGACTGGAAGTGCATAAGTGGAGAAAGGCAATAACTGCAGTAATCTCTTACGGGACTCCATTATAATTCCAAACATACATAATGTCAAGAAAAACCGGTAAGGGAAGAAAGTGGCAATGTCCACTCTTGCCCCAGACATAACCCTTATTTCCATGGCAGCCCAAATACTGGTAAAACCAAATGTAGGCCCTCTAGCATGTACCTTTAATTCAAATGAAAATCATTTTGAGTATAGCACAGGAATACATAAGTAGAGTTATATAACCTATAGGAACAGACCATGCATTTCCTGTAAAGTCACAGGACTTTAGAATGGGAAGGAATTTACAGGATAACTTGCCCAAATTATCATTTTATAGATGAAAGATTGCGTGGCATTATTCACGGGTAGGGTTGGGCCTAGAATTCAGGTCCCCTGATTTTCTGTGAAATGCTGTGTCTGCTTCATCTTTCTGTTGCTCATGCTCAATCACACAGGCATTTAAGAGACAAAATAGTTGTTCTCCCCGACCCTTTTCTACTTTAGACACAGTTGTCCTCTGTGTCACACATAACATGCATTATCCCAGGGAGGCCACGTGATTATTTCTTCTCTTTCTCAAGCTTGCCTTCAACACAGATACAGATTTATTTGAGCATTCATGGGGAAGGGAGAGTCTTTCATTTCTAATATCTAGAGGAACAACTTATCTTTCAATTTTCCAGCAAAATGCAATAAAGTCCAGTTATTGTGCTTCACGGAACACCTGACACCTCTGGCACTACCTGGAGTCCAGATTGTGAGATTAACATATTGCAAATCCTGGTGCAGTTTCAGAGAATGGCAAGAGTAATTTGGTGGTTGTTGCATGGCCTGAGAAAAACACATCCTCCTCCTGTGGGCCTCGATTTTCTCAACTCTAAACCGAAGCTAACCATTGCCCTCCCTGTCTCTCTCCCTGGGGATTTGTGAGGTGCTGCTTGCTTACTCTCCCTCAAAGGATGGGAAACACCAAAAGAAATACTAAATTTCAGCCTTTTTTCCCCTATGTGTTTTGTAAACTAAGACAGCAAGCGAACCTCTTCAGAAGAACCAAAGTAAACAAAATCCCAGAGGATGGCCTGGCTTTGGCACTCAGCAGCTTTGACAAAGATAAAGTCACTTCAAGAATGTGCCTTATGTGGCCGGGCGCGGTGGCTCACGCCTGTAGTAATTCCACCACTCGGCCAGGCGCGGTGGCTCACGCCTGTAATCCCAGCACTTTGGGAGGCCGAGGTGGGCGGATGACGAGGTCAGGAGATCAAGACCATCCTGGCTAACACGTTGAAACTCCGTCTCTACTAAAAACACACACACACACACACACACACACACACACACACAAAAACCCACAAAAAACTAGCCGGGCGCAGTGGCGGGCGCCTGTAGTCCCAGCTACTTGGGAGGCTGAGGCAGGAGAATGGCGTGAAGCCGGGAGGCGGAGCTTGCAGTGAGCTGAGATCGCACCACTGCACTCCAGCCTGGGCGACAGAGTAAGACTCCGTCTCAAAAAAAAAAAAAAAAGGGGGGGGGGCCTTATTTGATTTCATTGTTATTCCACTGTTTAAGAAAAACCTAAAAGCTAGAATATGAACTTGCGATGATCTCATAAGGCCTAGATTGCTGTCTTTCCTAGACAAAACTCCCTTCATTTTAAATTCAGTTTGGATTCACAGAGGCTGACCACTGAAAATCTTTTGCAATTTGGACAAGAGAATTGCTGATATTTAAGAACCAGGAGAATTTTCTCTAATATACAGGAAACAAAGGTCAATCATGCAATTTGAAATTTCTATTTGTCTGCAGATAGCTCTAAAATGGCTCTCAACTTTTAGAAGATTGATTTCTAATACTACGTTTGGTTTTATATAACTTTTTTATTTCACCGCAAACTAGTCCCTGACCCCCTTTCTGTCTGCTATTATTCCCTGTCTGATTTGTATCTTTTTGATTCGGCCAAACATTTTTAAAGTACAGACAATGATTACATCAAAGAACCCATAGCAAAGTGAACTGTTTTACTTTTACAGTCCTGAGATCCAAAGCGGAACACAGCCACTTATTGTCTTATATGCATGCCTTCAGAAACTGCTTAGGAAAAGCAAATATTCCTTAGCCTCAGAGTAAACTGTTTCTCTTGAGAATAAAACATAAGAATTCACTAATCTCACACAAATATTGCAACACGGACCACGACCTCCTTAAAGAGTGTAACCAAACAACTGTGGTTTCTACATTAAAGATGAGATCTAACATATTTCATGTATGACATGAAAGCTAGACTACCTTCACCACAAAGCCACGGAAAACGCTGACAACCAGAATTTATGACTCCCCTCCGCAGAGCTAATGCACGGCAGCAGCTTCGGCCCCTCTACGGTGGGCCCCCTTTTCCTTCAGCAAGAATCTTGAAAAAGTATTAGAAATCTGACATCCGCCCCAGAAGCTGAATTTGTTTGGCCTGACACCAATGTGCCCTTGTTGATAATCTCTTTTCTATGTGCTGCATGTTTCCATAACACAGACGTGCTAGTTTTATGCATTGGGGAAGGGAAGCTTAATACAGGAACAAGGTCAATAGAGAGACACAAACTCCTAAAAACATAACCATGGAATTATCTCAGTTTTGAATGATTATTATGACAGGATGATAAGCACAATTTGAAAATATGTCTGCACTTAGCAAAGTGCAAGACTTGCCTTCACCTCGCTTTCATCAGCATTTTAATCTTATCGGTAATTACAGTGGGAAGCAGGGCAAGATGCTGGCACCTGTGAAAGCAGCGCAGATGACACACTCTATGGGATCTCAGAAGTCTTGGAAATTGTGGTTAAACAGGGGGAAAATGGCGAATTTCTACAATCTGTTTATTTGCATTTAAATTCCTAACTGGGCGACTGTTCCTCTCACACATTTGTAAAGCTCATTTGTCCTTATATGCTGTCTCCTACCCCTACCTCTCATCTAATTTACCAGTACTTTTAGAATTGGTACCAGCAAAATGTATCTCAAATTTCAGCCCTGCATATGAGAACACCTCTGTCTACTGCCACTCATTCTTCTACGAGGGAGGGAGAGCCACGTTGACTAACCTGGTCAATGAACAAAAAGGAAAAAGCCCTAAGGGGTGAGAACTGCTGATGATTAGGAGTGAATGGTTCCCCTCTGGTGTCTACTCAGAGGGAGACACAGAGCAAGGAAGATGCCTGGAGTGGGTGACATGAAGCTGAACAGAAGACCTCTGAGGTCTTCCCCAACTTCTGGGGGGAAATGTCCATATGCTCTATGGGCATATGGTCAGCCCCTTCTCCCCACCTGAACATATGGACAGCCCCTTCTCCCTACCTGTCCCTTGTTTATAATATCCTTCTCTAGAAGCTGAGGAAAGACATAATAAGTCTCTTAGGTGTCTACAATAATTAGTTTGATCTGGCTGTAATGCTAGGAAGGATCAAACTGTCCCTGACTTCCATGAAGCAGTTCAGGAGCAGAGCAATGCAGGAGAGGCAAACAGGCAGAATAGTGTCATGACATGCATGTGAGGCAGGTGAGTCACTTCTGGATGATCCCTGCTTCCTGGGGAAAAATATTCCTGAGTCCTGCTACAGTGCCTTCACTCCAGCTTCCAAGTGAAGTTTATTGCTTATCGATGCATAGCCTTAACACCTGGGGCCAAAAGTATGGCTAGTCAAACATTATGCTACAGGAAAGAAGCCAGTCACACAAGGACAAATACTAGATGACCCCAACTGCATGAGGTAGCTAAAGTAGTGAAAGTCACAGAGACAGAAGGTAGAATGGTGGTTGCCTGGGAACAGGGGAATGGGAAATTCGTGTTCAAAGGGTGCAAAGTTTCAGCTGGGGAAGTGAAAATGTTTTGGAGATAGAACTGCATAGTAAAATGAATGCACTTCATAATAATAACACAAAAGAATGGCTAGTCAAAGAAAGAACTGGGGCCACATTAGAGCTGCTTACCTTTTCTGTGCATTCTCTAAGTGACTTTCTTCCATCTTATGCTCTTTTCTGGCTGTAAAACAGAAATTATGATTAAAAATGTTTTCTTCTGTCATCTCCTTTGCGTAATCTTACAGCTTCAATTACACCCATTCTTCACCACAGCAGGTCTGAATTCAGGGATGGGTAGCCTCTAGCACATGTCCTGGTAATAGCACTCCATTTGCTTTATCTGCCACCACTGCTTTTTTTCTTTTTAATTATACTTTAAGTTCCAGGGTACATGTCCACAAGTGCAGGTTTGTTACATGGGTATACATGTGCCATGTTGGTTTGTTGCACCCATCAACTTGTCATTTACATTAGGTATTTCTCCTAATACTATCCCTCCCTCAAACCCCCACCCCCAACAGACCCTGGTGTGTGATATTCCCCGCTCTGTGTCCATCTGTTCTCATAGTTCAGCTCCCACCTATAAGTGAGAACATGTGGTGTCTGGTTTTCTGTCCTTGTGATAGTTTGCTGAGGATGGTTTCTGGTTTCATCTATGTCCCTGCAAAGGACATGAACTCATCCTTTTTTATGGCTGCACAGTATTCCATGGTGTATATGTGCCACATTTTCTTAATCCAGTCTATCACTGACGGACATTTGGGTTGGTTCCAAGTCTCTGCTATTGTGAACAGTGCCACAATAAACATACGTGTGCATATATCTTTACAGTAGCATGATTTATAATCCTTTGGGTATATCCCCAGTAATGGGATGGATGGGTCAAATGGGTTTTCTAGTTCTAGATCCTTGAGTAATCGCCACACTGTCTTCCACAATGGTTGAACTCATTTACACTCCCAACAGTGTAAAAGTGTTCCTATTTCTCCACACCCTCTCCAGCATCTGTTGTTTCCTGACTTTTTAATGATGGCCATTCTAACTGGCGTGAGATGGTATCCCATTGTGGTTCTGATTTGCACTTCTCTGATGACCAGTGATGATGAGCATTTTTTCATGTGTCTGTTGGCTGCATAAATGTCTTCTTCTGAGAAATGTCTGTTCATACCCTTTGCCCACTTTTCAATGGGATTTTTTTTTTTTCTTGAAAATTTGTTTAAGTTCTTTGTAGATTCTGGGTATTAGCCCTTTGTCAGATAGGTAGATTGCAAAAATTTTCTCCCATTCTGTAGGTTGCCTGTTCACTCTGATGATAGTTTCTTTTGCTGTGCAGAAGCTCTTTAGCTTACTTAGATCCCATTTGTCTGTTTTGGCTTTTGTTGCTATTGCTTTTGGTGTTTTAGTCATGAAGTCTTGATAACAGACATAGCTAACAAAGGCCAAATAATTTGTTTTCTCTGGGACACTTTTGAGAGTGATATTAATAATTACACCTGGACAAAGACATGAATTAGGGCAATCTGGGTAGATCAGGACATGTGCTCACTCTTGCACATTTCATCATGTTTCCCCTTAATGTTCCCACAAAAAACAAAACCAGCACGGGAACATAATAAACTCAGTAGCATTTGCAACAGTTCAGTTCTGCTCAGAGTCATGGGAATCTTGCACACACTGCCTCCACACCCACAGGCCCTTTTGGCAGTCTAGGGAAGTCTGTGGACTCTTGTCAGAATAATGTTTTCATAAGGTTACTAAGAAAATCAATGATACTGAGATACAATTCTGAATCCACAGGTCAAGAACCTATGTTCTTTCTATAGGATTATCAAGAGGTTTCATTTTAGGGTGGTTCTTTTATATATCCTTCTCTACAATCAGAAGATATATTATTGTATATGAAAATACCACTCTCACACTTTAAAAATACCAGGAAAATAGGAAAGTTGAGACATAAGCTACACAAGCCTTCAGATTCCTTTAATTTAGGGCTACAGTGATTTAAAATGAATGAAAAAAAAATGAATCTCATATTTAGGATCTATGGTGTGATACTTCATGAAAGGTAATAAGGGATTTTGAAACACCACCATTTTATTAAACCTGGCCCTACCATTTACTACCTGTGTGACTCTGGGCAAGTTAGTAAAGACCAAATGCTTAGTTATTGCCTCATCTGTCCCATGAGAATAGCCATAGTGACCATTATCATACAGTTGCTGTAAAGATTTAATGAGATGATACATGTAAAAAGAGGAATTATTAAAAGCCAATGCACACTGCAGAAACTCTGAGGGTTTAGGGAAAAGCGCCTTCAGGAAAATGAGAAGAAATTAGTCATCTAAATTTTTCCTAATTTTGCCCATGTACAGATAAAAAAGGCATCTACTCTTGTGGTGTGACCTGGAGGCTCCAACAGCCTAAAATATTTCTCCTACTTGAATGTGTAAAATTTCAAACCAGGCCATTACACATTTTAAGTCTTTGAGATGCTCCAAGCAAAACACAAATACATTACCTGGAAGAACCATGTTTAAAGACTGGAGTCACAAACTCAAATTCTAATACCATCAACAAACAAGGTAAGTGTGGGCCAAGTATAAGAATCCCAGTGTTCTAACGTTCTAGTTCTAGTTTTTCAACACGGGAACTGATAGCCTTAAAGTGGGAGAGACAGTAGGGAACTGCAGGGAAGTGGGAAGGCTGTACTCCATTTACGAGAGGACAAGCACTTGGTCTTGTTACCAGATTTAGGTTTTTAGACTAGAAGCTAGAAAGGGATTTTTAAATGAATGTTTCTAACTTAAAAAAAAATTCAAACATAATATGACAAAGAGAACAGTCCTGCTGGCCACATGTGGCTCTGCAACCTCTGATTTCAGCCTCTAGTAGCTGCTGATGTCATAACATAGGAGGGTTTATTCCTTCCTTCCATGGGCTAGACACTATCCCAGGTGTTTGGGATCCACCAGCAAAGTAAGCAAACAAAGTTCCCTGTAGAACTTTTGTTCCTGTTGGGGAAGACAAATAATTAAACTCGAGAGAATAAGAATCAGTGTAAGTAATTTTTGATAAGTGGTAACAACAAAAACAAAAAACAAAACCAAAAAACCCATCCAGAGCATAGATTGAGGCCTATAGAAGGAGACTCTCCATGAGTTACCGAATTAGGCATGCCTGGGCAGCTAGAGCACGTCCCACTGCGACTCGGTACACAAAGGGAAAGGCAATATTGAAATTGAAGATGACAAGTCTTAGATGAAAACTGTTCTTTGACTAGGAGTGGCTCAAATTGATGTGTAAAATTTACTTAGTCTTCTATTCTACAAAGCCACATAAATAGCGGGATTTAGATGCTTCATTTTTCTTTTTTTGAGACAGCGTCTCACTTTGTCACCCAGGCTCGAGTGCAGAGGCATGATCATAGCTCACTGCTGCCTCAAACTCCTAGGCTCAAGCAATCCCTCTACCTCAGCCTCTCGAGTAGCTGGGACTATAGGTGTGCATCACCGTGCCTGGCTTACCTTATTTTTCAGAGATGAGGTCTTGCTATTATATATAGCATATATTATATATTATGTATAGCATATTATATAGCAGATAATATATAGCATACAGTATATATAGCATATAGTGTGTGTGTATATATATATGCGTTAGTCTCAAACTCCTTGGCTCAAGCGATCCTCCACCTTGGCCTCCCAAAGTGCTAGGATTACAGGTGTAAGCCACCATACCTGGCCCGCTTTGGGATTTAAATTGTGACACTACTAATGTGAGGTGAAGCGGGGGTATGTATCTTAGGAGACAGATGGGTTTGGAAGAACTGTCAGACTCAGTATGGGGAAGGTAGGGAAATAAAAGGCATCCCTCAACTTGTTCTTCTCTCCTCTATTTACTGTCTTTCTAAAAACTTTTGTTCTTATTTTCCTCCTCTCTCTTATTTGTAAGAAGCTCTCTTATTGTCTGCCATGAGTTAAATATAATTCTTTTCCAACTCGTAGGAATGAAATGTAGCTGCTTACAATAGTGACTGATAGTCTCACAGTTTTCAAGGTAATAAAAGCAATAAGGAAAATAAGTCAGAGTATTAAAAATGAGAAGTTTTGCTTAACATAAATTCTGTCTCCTAAATGTCTTTACCAAGGTTACTTGCATGCTGTGATGATGGTGAATCTTGGGAAATGCTTGGAGAAAGCTGAGAGGTAAGTTTGCCTGGTGACACGCTTATAATATGGTACAATTTTTATGTCACTGGCGGACTATGTGGTTTTTCTCAAATTTAAATTTTCTCCTTAAGTAACATTTTTCATAACTCTGTGTCACAGAGAGAAAGTAACATGGCTTCCTCAAAAGGTGTTTTGTTAAAAGAGACACATATGTGGATTTTATTTAATACAGTCTCGACTGAATAAAGACTGCTGGCTTTTGTGTAAACCTTTAATGCCCTGAAATTTTGTTTTCTGGTTCATTTGCTGGCCATTGTTTTATTAGTTATCATGAAATTGCTCCACAAGAACAATTCTCAAGTTCATAGTTCCGTAGCCTACCAAGTGAAGCAGAAATGGCTCTTTCTATTCCACGGCTATGGGCCCAAGGAATGCAAATCAGAACTCACAACACCTAAACGCCAAGCTTTAAGCCTCGCTGTGTCATCTGAGTGTCATGAATCAATCACAGTGTCCTGTGTTTCAGTTTCCCGCTCTGTCAAACGGAGATGATGATACCTACCACCCACAGAGTTGCAGTCAGTCTTTTTAGTCGGGTCTTTGACAGTTCAACGTCATGCCATGGCTGCTGGGGGTTCAAGCTTCCAAAGGGTTGACTGTTTTGCCAAAGTCAAATGAAGTGTAGCATAGAGGAAAGAGCTTGGGTTTTGCATCAGGCGGACCTGGGTTGAATTTCTGCTCTCATACTTATGAACTGGGTGATCTTCAGAAAATCACTTAACTCCACTGAGCCTTATCCATAAAATGGGAATAGTAAGATCTACCTTGCAAAGTGCTTGTGACTATGAGATATACTGAACGTGTGAGGTTCATCTAGTTACTGACATATGGTGGGCATTCAAGAATGGCAGCCATTTATTGTCGATTGGCTACAAGCAAATGCTAGTAGTCACTGTTCTAGCTTTCTGACTTCGGCATGGTTATCACAAAATTTCACACAACTTGCTTTCTT